TTTATATATTTTTTTTCGTTGTAGATGAGACCCTTAATGTCAACCTTTCCCAAATATGTCCCGTGGACACAAATCCTTTTACATGTTCCATTGAAAAAGGATTCTGTGGTCAAATAAGTTTGAGATATTTTACATACTACATCCTACTCCCCCTACACATATGAAGATTCACAATGTACAGTAACATATTAGACACTCTGATAAATCCTACATTAAAGAATTCTGTTTAACCTTGTTTAAGGTGGTAATTCCCAAATGCACTGGACCTAGAACCCTTGTCTTGTGTAGCTCCTATTAACATCAGCCTGCTATGATAACACTTAATACGCGATATTGATACTGTCTGCTTGCCTGCCTGTCTGGGCTATAAGGATAGGTATTTGGAAGACAGGAATTCATGTCTTATTTACCTTTTTATCTCTAATGCCAACACAAATTCTGGAACACAGTGGCTGTGCAATATAGTTCAGAAAGAGAACTGACTGTCAAAGACTACGTGTTGATGTCAAGGAAGAAAGAAGATTAAATATGTTTGCCTTTGGATCACATAACTCATAATCCCTTATAGACCAGCACTTCAGCAATTCTTCTACAGAAATATCTTGCCAAAGTAGATTTAAGAACACACAGGGACATACACATGCCAAATCTGGTTTGGGGCTTTTGATAACTAGATTTACCAAACAAAGAGCTGCAACTCTTCCCTCTGAAACAACTTCCTATCCTTGTTGCTATCTACTGTGGAGTTGGGCCCTAACTCATGGTGACCCCATGCACAGTGGAATGAAATGCTGGCTGGTCCTGCACCATTTCCACTATAATTGATGCTGTAATTCATAGGGTTTTCATTGGCTGATTTCAGTCCATCTTAACCTGAAAGCTCTGCTGAAACCTGTTCAGCGTCACAGTAAAATGCAAGCCACACTGACAGATGGGTGGTGGCTGCTCATGGAGTGCATTGTCTAGGAAACAAACCTGCACCTGTCTTATGGAAGGTGAGAATTCTACCACTGAACCCTCTTCCTACCCTTACCTCACATTATTCTTCCATTCACATGGACCAGTGTCAGGTTTTACCAGTCCTCCCAGTTCTCCTGACCCCTTTGCTGCCTCCAGCCTCCATTCTGAGCTTGTGGTCAGTAATGTACTCACTTCCACATTATACCCTATCCACCCCCAAAGTCTTCTGGTCTTTCCACATTGTTCCTCCTAACCCCAAGAACCTTCTATAGCTGATTCATCTTCTTGCCACAGGCTGCTCAGCACAGCTGGAGAAAATAAGACTAATCTCCACTGGCCCCTATGTGCTGCTGGGAAAGCCTTTTATTCTTCTCATCTCTCATTCACTTCCTTTCCCATTCCCTATAGATGTTCAAATCCATTTCCTACTGACAGGTTTCCAGTTAGGCTGTCCCTGCCTTATGCTTAGGATGTGACCTTATGGGCTCATCTCCCAGAAGGAGAAAGGTGTTCAACACAAGTACCTTCAAGTCTGGTCTTCTCTGAATTTTCACCTGCCTCTCTCCATTCCCTTTAGAGTCTGACAAAAGAATTATTCTTGCTCTTCTTTGAAATCAACCTTCCACCTATACATTTTCTCTCACCACTCCAGCCTTCCTGAGACCTTACTTCATAAGTTATTTCTTCTCTCTTAAATCTTCAATCTCCATTAGTCCAGTGGCATCTCTAGGATTGATGTCACCCAGTATGGTAACTCATGGTATTGCCCCCTCAGTGTGGGTGGGGCTGGCCGGCA